TGTGCTTTAGAGAAGTGGCAAAGTCCGACCAAGAAGGTGGCAATTTGGCAATAATGCCACCCGCCACAAACTTGTCCGGCAACTCACAGTTGTTGTTCTCAAGTTCCTTAGCCAGCATTTGAATCTCATGAGCTTGTTCTACTATAGAACGGTCATCGACCATCTTGTAGTCATAGAGCTGCTCCATGACATACAGCTCACTACCGGCGTCGGAAACTCCAAATTTGGCCTCAAGTGTATCCCACATGTCCTTCCCTGAAGGCATGTGCATATACACGTCCATTATATTGTCAGCGAGTACACTGATCAATGCTCCACTATATTCCGAGACCAAGCTATCTCCAACTTGACTCATTAGTAGCAAACAACAGTGTTACATACGTATAGTATCCATCTAGAAGCCATAATCATGAAACAATCACGGATATCCAAACAAACAACCCGAAATTGAAACCGACACAGAGTCGGCCGGTCAGACCGCGGGCTGCGCCGGTCTGACCGCGCGATACACGCCGGTCTGACCGGCAAGCACTGCCCGGTCTGACCGGTCACATAAAATAACAGCACATGTAATTCACCTGTAAATCCAATCATCTCCAAAACCACTTCGTGAATAAATTCCAAATAACAAAACCAATAATCTCCAATGCCAGTTGTTCATCATAGAATAATAATCAAAAACACCTTTGATTTTACAGGATTCTGCAGCGCAGGAACCAGGAACAGAGGAGGAGAAACTCAAAGTGCAAGAGACGTCGGGAAGAACTTCTCCCCTTTCTTTTGGTCGCTGCGGAGTATATATATATATATATATATATATATATATATATATATATGCGCGAGCGCGAGAGTAACTTTCAGAGTCATCAACCACGGTGTTTAATTTCGTAACCGACGCACTCGTTAATATGGAATAATTCACGGCGTTTAATTCCGTAACCGACGGAATCAATCCACACTAGGCGCTCGCGTGGCGGCCTCCACGTGCGCCTCCTCGCGGACGCCGACTGCCGGCGGTGCGTCAACTCCTTCCCGCGCCCCCTATGCTCTATCGCCCTCCGCTGTTGCGACGCTGGTTGCTGTCCTGTGCCGCGTCGTCCATCGCCGGTCCCGTAGTGACACCCTTCCCAGACCACCGCTCCTCCCCCGCTCTCCGCTGCTAGCGCGCCAGGGCGAGTGCCACCGTTAGGATGCCGACCCCGGCCGCGGCCTCCTCACACCGGTTCCTCCACCCCGCCAGCCTCCGCCGCCGTCACTCTCAACTTGCAGCGAGGGAGAGAAGCGAAGAAAGAAGAGAGAAAAGGGGAATGGGAGGAGAGACTGAGAGGAAGGGGAGGAGAAGAAAAAGAAGAGAGGAGGAGCAAAGACTCCGATGTGTGGACCCACGTGGGCCCCATGATTTGCTAATCAGATCCGCATAGTAATCCTCCCCTAATCTCACTCTAAATCCTCACAAACATGCGGGCTCCACTATGCTAGTTTCTCTGTTAAATCCACCCATTTACCTTTGATTCACTTACATATGGGACCCAGTGTGCCGGTCCGACCATGTGCCCGGTTAGGATGGGGGATGCTAATGGTCGATCGATCGCCAGGGCCATCACCCAGCGATCACATCCCCTCGCCTCCCCCCTATACGCAGTACTCCCACTTCTTCCCTTCCTCCTCCCCTTCTTCTCTTCCTACTACAGTAAATTACAAAAAAATTTTAAAAAAATCAAATAGTTAGAAAAATTTATGTATAGAAATACTATATATAAAAAATTTGAATTCAAATTCAAATTTAAATTCGAATTCAAATTTGAATTCAAATTCGAATTCAAATTTGAATTCAAATTAAAATTTGAATTCAATTCGAACTTGAATTCAATTTGAATTTGAATTTTCAAATTCAAATTTGAATTCAAATTCAAATTCAAATTTGAATCGGGTATGTAAACTTTTGACTTATAAACTTTGGATATATAAACTTTAGGTGTATAAACTTTAGATGTATATAGAAAATATTTGAATTCAAATTCAAATTTGAATCGGGTATATAAACTTTAGTTCTATAAACTTTGGATCTATAAACTTTAGGTGTATAAACTTTAGATGTATATAGAAAATATTTGAATTCAAATTCAAATTTGAATCGGATATAATTCAAATTCAAATTTGAATTAGGTATATAAACTTTAGTTCTATAAACTTTAGGTCTATAAACTTAACTTTAGGTGTATAAACTTTAGATGTATAGAAATACTATATATGAAAAATATTTGAATTCAAATTTAAATTTGAATCGGATATAATTCAAATTCAAATTTGAATCGGGTATATAAACTTTTGACTTATAAACTTTAGGTGTATAAACTTTAGATGTATAGAAATATTATATATAAAAAAATAATTGAATTCAAATTTAAATTTGAATCGGATATATAAACTTTTGGTGTCTAAACTTTAGATGTGTAAACTTTAGGTGTATAAACTTTAGGTGCATAAATTTACTAAAACAGGAAAGTAATGCGGTGCCAAAAAAGGAAATAGGTGGAGGGAGGGAGGGGGAAGGTGGGGAGCGAATCTGATCGCTACCCCCTCCCAAGGGCGAGCAATCGCCAAAAAGCATTTCCGGGTTAGGAGAGGAAGGGAGAGGCTAGCTTGTCGACGTGCCATCCTGACATGTGGGGTCCACGCTGACTCAGCCACCTCATAGGATAAAACCGCCGAGGGACCTAGTTTGCACTGGTTTTATAAAGGGTTAATTCGATTCATGCCACTGTAAATATGATGATTAAAAATATACCACTACAATTCATGATATCTATTGTATGCCACTGAAATTTTATAAAATTAGATGAATGCCACCGTCGTCCTGTTTTCTGTCATCGCACCGTTAGATCCGTCAACCTCAGATCAGCTTCTCCGTCTCAGCATTGGCGCCGACCAGCCAAGCGATGATGACAGCAAGGGACGGAGCGGCCGAGCGCATGGCCGTGTCGCAGCACGCCGAGGACATCAAGCTGGGCATGCTCGTGCACGAGTACCAGGTCCCCTTCGTTGCCTTCAAGCTCCTGGACAGTGGACACCTCGTGCAGCAAGCACAAGCGCGCGTCGACGCCCCATCGAATAGCTCATGCTCGGCTGCTTCGATGACATCTTGCTTAAGTGATAAAGGGTCGTTCCAGGACGTGCTATACAGCTCTTCCACTTGCAGGTTGCGTGCGCCGACGAGCAACTGCATCCTGTCGACGCCACGGAACGGAAGCAAGGGTGCTAGCCATGGGCCATGGCGATGACGACTTCCAGGGGCACCTCTGCCGCCTCCTCGAGGAGGACGAGGAGGCCAATCGGCGGGAGCTCTGAAGCTGACTTCTCTTCCTCCTTACATCTCTACCCTAAAAGGGACCAGCGGTGGCGGGATTAGGGGAAAACAAATTCGGTGGCCGCGGAGCTTGGGGGCGGCAGATCCGGTGATGGCAGAGCTTGGTGGCGACCGATCTGATAGGGATGGGGATTGGGGGCGCTAGATTTGCCAACGGCGACATCAGATTGACTACGCCTAATTCAGTTTGGGCGGTGCATCTCTTTGCCATCGTTGAGCTGGTTTCCATCGTCTACACCGTGATCCACTGGTGGACCTTGTCACCGCCGTGCAGAGACAACCACCTGCGTCACACACCCATGGCCTGCCCGCCAGGGTTCACAATTCCGACGAAAATCGGTTGAATTCCGTGAAATTTCGAACACGGCTCGGAATTAAGTTTCGATTGAAAATTCGAAGGTTAAATAGTAGATTTGATCGAAATTCAGTCAAAATTTATCAAAAACCGATTGAAATTTATCGAAAACCGTGATATCGGGGCCTCGAAATTTAGTGGTCAACCGGTAATGTAACCCCTGCTGCCCACCGCCGTGTCCTCTGACCACTGGGGGTGAGGTAGAACGAGATGTGGAAAAATAGAAGAGGGAAAGGTGAAGGAGGAAGATGGAGCTGACACGTGGGTCCCATATGCAGGGGCATTTTGGTCTTTATTTTAACAGGGCAATGACGGAAAACGTGACGGCGGTGGCATGTTTCTAATTTTGCAAAATTCCAGTGGCGCACAACAAATATCATGAATAGTAGTGGTATATTTACAGTGGTATGGAACCAATTAACCTTTTTATAAATTGGGGAATGCGTTTTATTCAATTTTATGGTTGGGGGATGATTCTGTAACTCGATGACAAGTTGAGGGTCCTTCGGTTATAGATGGTCACGTGGGCCGCCCGGTACGGCACGGCCCTGCATGGGGCGAGGCTTGTCGGGCCGGCACGGCCCGACCGACGCACCGGACCGTGCCGTGCCAGCCCACGTGCCGCACTCACGGCCCAGGCACGGCCCGATGGCCCGATGGCCCATCATGCTTTTCCTTAAAATAAGTCTATTTTCCTCCCTCCTATTGGGCTGTAACATATATATATATATATATCTAAAAAAGCCTATTTTATCTCCCTCTTCTTTGGGCTGTGATATATAAATAGCTAAAATAAGTCTATTTAAGGTCCCTATTCTTTGGACAGTGACAATTATATGTCTATTTTTAATCCCTAGATTTTGTGTGCCGGGCCTGGCCTGCCGGCCCATCGTGCCGGGGCGGCCCAACCGTGCTGGGCTAGCCCGACATGCCGGTGGGGAGGCCCAGGCACGGCCCGGCAGTCGGGCCGGGGCGACACGGGCCCGACCCAAGTCAGACTGTGCCATGCTTGGGCCGGGCTAAAAAGCCGTGCCGTGGGCCGGGCCTTCGGGCCTTATGGCCATCTATACCTTCGGTGTACTTTTTTTCCTTTGTTTGCGCTGGTAGCCGCCGCCGTGACATGCGCTCACCAACCACCCCTCCCGTCGCACGGCACTGGCAGCGGCTCACCTGCCCCTTCTCGGCGCGGTGGAGCCGCCATGCATGGAGCTCGAGGGACGCCGGATGAACATCCCTTCTCCCGGAGCAGCCGGCCGGCTTCAGGCACAGGTACGCCATTCCGCCTCTTCCTTCCCCTCGCACCGACCCATGTATCCCCTCGCACAGGGTGATACACTCGAATGCAGCGAATGTTTGTTCATATTTCAAAGTTTGGTTGAAAATGTCATTCGAACCTTCCGATATGCTGCGGTTTCGGAATTTTAGAGACCCAGAAATAAACTGGCTCTAAAAGTTCTTAACAAAAGTTCACTTGGAGAGGCACATGTCTGCCGACGGGCGACGGGCGACCAGTTGTTCTTCTACTCTCAAATCTCAATTTTGGGTCGTTAGATATATACTTGGCACAGGCCTTGATGAAATCTTTTAGGTTCGCTCTACTCCGCTAGCCGCACAGTTTGTTTCAGCCAATGATTATGTACCTGGTCTATAGTTTCTATCACTGCTTAATTTCTCTGATTTTTCTTTCAAAACATTTTTCTTCTCTGATTGAGACAGCTCACCTTACAAGAGCACGTAGAGCCCACAAAGACAATGTGTAGTTTTAGTAGGACTAGAAAGCGTGACAACAACTTGCTTGTTAATGTTCAGTTCATTTGCCTCCTGACTTACTTCAGTTTCCCTCTGATCAAATATAACTGACATTTTAATTTGGTCCCCAAATATGTACAATCTTCAGCTGTCGATATCTAGTAATAATATTCTTATCATGCAAGATTAAGCAGAGTTGTCTAGAAGTACATTTTGTAATACACAACTTAGTGGCTTTTACTGATGTATTACCATAGATATCGGTGGTAAAAATTTTATTTGGAAAACCTGTCTCTGTCCTAAGCATGTCTTTACTTGTGAGAGTTGTGACAGGAGAGTGTCACACCTCTTTCTGCAGTGCTGTGTCGACGACTTACGCCAGTAGCAACTTGCAAGTCGTCGCGTCAATGGAGATGGTTCAGATGCAATGGCATTAAACATGCAAGATGGTGTATCTCATTCTCTGCATCTCCATTTGTAGTCATCCATGCACACACCAGTGAAATTGGAGACAGAGAAAGGAGAAACAACCAACGCAAGAAGGATGAATGGTGCTGTGCTGCTTCAGATGCTGCTGCTCCTCTTGCTGGCTGCTCGAGCTCAGCAGCAGCAGCAGGTGACGCAGGCCAGGACAGATCCAAAAGAAGGTACATGTCTGCACATTTTTTACACCTCTTTTTAAAGTTTTAAGCACTAACTCCTAAAGGTTTCTGGTTTTGCTGCAGTGGCGGCGCTGGACGCGATATTGGGGAGATGGGGCAAGACGACGTCGCCGCTGTGGAAGATGGCCGACGAGCCATGCTACGGCGTCGCCGTCGACGACAGCACCGACCTCGACGGCAACCCCAAGAACAACCCCGGCATCAAGTGCGACTGCTCCTACATCAACGGCACCGTCTGCCATATCACCCAGCTGTAAGCAGCTATCGTCTTTTTTTTCTTTTTGCGGGGACGACATGAGCATCTAAGAATAGAATTTTTTTTTCGCCAGGCCAGCAAATAGTCGGCCTATGTATATTAAGAGAAAGAACAGGAATGTAAGGTTGCGAGGTGCGTCAAAGCACCACAATTACCGACACAAAAGAAAAGGCTAAAATCTCACAACAAAATTTGCTACAGAGTGGTAAATGGGGCTAACAAGACCTACAGCCATCCAGGTCTCCCATTCATCCCCCATGGCCGAGAAGAGCTCGGGAACCGTTGCCGCAATTCCATCGAACACCCTCGCGTTTCGCTCTTTCCAAATCAACCAAGTTACAAGTATAACCCCGCATCGAATGTTTTGCGGTCAACCTTAGCAACAGATTTCCGTGCTATCCGCCGACGGCGAAGAGCACGAAAGGCCCAGACGCGTGCGCACCCGACCCCAAATCTGCTGGGTGTAAGCGCAGTCCATGAAGATGTGCTGACAGGTTTCCCCGTCGTTGGAGCACAGATGGCACACCTGGGAAGGCTCCATCCGCGGCGTTGTAGATTGTCGGCGGTGAGGCAAGCGTTGCGCATGGCGAGAAACATAAAGAACTTGCATCTCGCCGGTGCACGGGATTTCCAAATAATCTTGCCAATAGGGCACTTCATCCTGCCTGCCGAAAACAGGGAATAGGTTGAACGCATAGAGAACACACCATTCGGAGCTGCCTTCCATATCATCTCATCCCGACTAGCAGGGTCGAGAGATTCCAGCGATCACCTCCCACAGATCTAGATATTCGCCCAACGCCTGAACCGAGAGGCCGCCTCTGATATCTGAGACCTAGGAATTATTACGGAGAGCAGCCGCCACAGTCATCCCACTATTCTTAACGAAAAAGAAGAGGATAGGTGCTCTGTTTTCCACTGAACCACCATCCGGCAACCAATTGTCTTTACAAAATAGAGCATCTTCTCCATTCCCCAAGACCACCTTGCAACTGATGGCGAAACAATGCAGTGTCTTCTTATCCGCCGGCGGCGCGAAACGCGCCCACGGTCGCTCCGGCTGCGTTCGGCGCAACCAGATATATCCACCTAGCACGGAGAGCAATGCCCATCAAATGAAGATTTCTGATCCCCAATCCACCATACTCGAACGGACGACAGAGTTTATCCCAGGCTATAAGGCTACACGACCCAGCCGCCTCTTCATCACCTTTCCAATGAAATCCCCGGCATTTCTTCTCTATTTCGTTGATCGCCCAGACAGGGTGTTCCAAAACTAACATGAAGTAAAGAGGTAGGGCCATTAGGACATGTTTGATCAGCGATAGGCGGGCATCAGGGGATAAAAGCTTGGGTTTCCAGCCAGCCAAGCTTTTTGCAAGCAGGTCAATCATTGGTTGAATTTGCTCCTTTGTCGGTTTTCTGACGGAGAGTGGCGACCCGAGGTAAACAATTGGCAGCAACTTGACTGGGCAGGACAACACATATGTTACTCCATCAACTTGCGCATCAGAGCAGTGAATTGGTGTTAACGAACTTTTAAGCAGATTAGAGACCAAACCCAATGCTTCACCCATCAGCTTGAGCACAAAATTGATTGTCAGCGCATCGCGTCTGGAGGGGTGGAAGAAGATCACCGCGTCGTCGGCATAGAGCGAGGCACGCAGCGGTAGATGTACATTGGCAAGAGGAGAAAGCTCTCCTCGCTGCACAGCCGTTGCACATAGGGCCACCAGAGCTTCCATGACGATGACGAACAACAGTGGAGAGAGGGGATCCCCATGACGCAACCCACGAGCAAGCCTGATCCGTTGCGTATCTCTGCCGTTGATGATGACAGAAGTGGAGGCAATGAAGAGCAAGGTCGCGATGCAATCCCTCCATCGGACCCCAAAACCCAGGTGCCGGAGCAGACCAAGAAGGAATTCCCAGGAAACAGTATCAAACACCTTCGCAATATCAATCTTCAAGAGCATGGCTGGCGTTTTCGAACGATGGAGGTTTTTGACCACCCCCTCCTGCACATATAGAAAATTCTCCTGTATCCTTCGGCGCTTGATGAAAGCAGACTGTGTCGGCCCAATTAGCTCATCCATCCTCGGCGCAAGTCGCAAAGCCAAAATCTTGGTGAGAATCTTGGCGAAGCTGTGAATCAAACTAATTGGCCGAAAATCTGACAGTTGATTCGGTTCCTCCTTCTTTGGCAGCAGGACAATTGAGGCTGTGTTAACAAGGTGAAGAAGCTGGAAATTGGATTTCCATGCTAAGTTAAGAGCCGCCACCAGATCATTCTTGATAATTTCCCAACATTTCTTGTAGAAGGTGGCACTAAAGCCATCCGGCCCCGGTGCCTTGTCGCTCGGCATTTCCATGATCGCCTTCATCGCCTCGTCTTCAGTAATGTCACGCTCCAAATTAGAGAAATCATGCACCGCCAAGCCAATCGCATCGAAGGCAAGGGATGCCGATGGGGGGCAAGGCGTGCCAAGAATTTTGAGAAAATAATCATACGCAGCCTGAAGCTTGTCCTCTTCAGTTGTTGCAATGACGCCATCCTGACAAATAGAGGGAATTGCCTTCTTCCTTCGACGAGCATTGATTTTGAGGCGGAAGAATTGAGCTGTGGTGCCGCTATGTTTCAGGAAAAGCAAGCGGGCACACTGTCTGAGCCGAATGCGCTCCAGGGAGGCGAGCGCGAGGCAGCGGCCTTTTAGAGATGCCTGCAATGATCTTTCACCAGTCGACAGAAGACGATCATCCTGGGCCTTGTCCAATTGGAAAACTACTTCATGGGCAATGGCGAGTTGCTGACAGAGCTCACTGATACGCTTGGCTCCCCAGGACCGTAAGGCAGCAGCAATTGCACGCAGCTTGAAGTGAAGGCTGCTGAGTGCATTGGAGCTGGCCGGCGCTGCCGCCCACGCCTGACGGACCACATCCTCGAAACCCTCCAATTTGGCCCAATAGGATTTGAACTTGAACTTCCTCGGCCTATGCATCATCTGATCGCAGGCCAGCAACAGGGGCAGTGATCAGAGGCAGAGGAGCTGAGCGCCTGTAGGTGAGCATCACGGAAAATTTCCTCCCAATCTCCGTTAATTAGCACCTTATCGATTTTGGTTAGAGTCGGTCGTTCTTGCTCATTGCTCCATGTATAGCGACGCCCAAACAGATACACCTCACGCAGCTCAAGGGCGTCAATGGTGTGCCTAAACTTGCTGATCAACCATCGATTTACATTCCCATTGTTTTTATCACCGTCCGCGCCCAAGAGGTTGAAATCTCCAATCACGCACCAGGCCCCGACCACTAGCTGCCCAACCAGCAGCAATTCCTCCAGAAACAACAATTTGTCGCTGTCCAATTGGGGGCCATAAACATTGGTGAGAGTCCAACTTGCCCCACCTTCCAGGTTGGAGAAACAAAGAGAAAGCGACCATCGTCCCTTGTGAAGACAGGAAACAGAGAAGTGATCACGCCGCCAAGCCGTAAACAGGCCCCCTCCCTTGTTCCACTAGCATGAATGAAATCAACACCATCCAGGGCATGTCCACACGACTGAATCGATAGAGACCGATCTAAAACATCTAATTTAGACTCCTGACAACAAAAAATAGAAGCACTAGAGGTTCTAACAACTTCCGCTACAAGGGACATCTTGCCAGGGTGGTTTAGGCCCCTTACATTCCACACCAAAAGAGTACAAGACATGAGAAACAACAAGCTTCAACATTGCGGCAGATGCGGCAGTTTTAGGCCGCCGCCGGCACCGCCACACTGCAGAACGCCGCCAGCGCCTGTACATGAGATGGCGCCAGGGGAGCCTTGAACAGCTCGAGGTACCGGAGGATATCCTGTTCGTCCGCTTTGTTCTCATCCTCGATGACGCCGAGTCTCTTCATCACCACCCGCTGTGCTCTGGTGATCGTGTGGATATGTTTCCCACCATTCATGGCGGCAAGGTGCTCGCTCCGCCTTGGAGTGTACGGGGACGGGCGGTGTCAAGGTTGGCGGGGACGCTTCCCGAGAAGCGACGAAGGCGGTGGTCCCACCAGATCGGCCAAGGCCGCCCGCCGCGGTAGCAGACGCCTCCGGATCGATGGCCGCTCCATCGCGCGGTGGAGACAGAGCAGAGACGCACGGTGAAGATGGAGTGACTGGGCTGGCGGGGAGCGGCCGTGGCCCATCAACAGCCGCCTCTGGGTTGCTAGCCGCTTTGTCGTGCGGTGGAGATTGAGAAGGATTGCGCGGCGGAGAGAGAGTGACTGGGTCAGCCCACTCCTCCACCCCTGGCCCATAAAGAGGAAAGGCCCGCGGGCCAGTGAGCTCCCTATGGTGGCGGTAGACAGCCAATGGGCCAGGGACTAGCAAAGCCGGCCCAAAAGAGGGGGCGAGGCGCGCTCCCGGCAAGTTGAAAAAATCTCCATCCCGCTCAGCGGGCGCCAGGACCGATGACGCATCGACGTCAGGGCGCACCGGTGACGACGAAGCAGGCGTCGACATTAATGGCTCCTCAGGAAAAAGCTCTCTTTGGAGACCCATCTCCCTGACAGGCGGGGCCACAACCATGCATGCCGGGGCTGTGACGAGGGGTGAGTAATGACGCGTGGGGACGGTGGGCCCAGAGCCGCCAAGCCTAGGGAAGAGAGCTGAGGCAGAGCCGGTGACAACGGGCAGCGCACCGGCGAAGTCGTCGAAGGTGAGGCATCCCAGGAGGTGGGGGCTGCCGGCACCGGAGAAGCACCCCCTGGACTGGACATCGGCGGCAGGAAAGGCGCAGTCGGGGGCGGCGGCGTCGTAGCCAGAGGCGATGCCGTGATAGCTAGGAGCGGAGTCGTCGACTTAGCTGGGGGTGAAGCCTCAAGAGCCAGCATAGAGACTCCCTCGGGAACGCACCGACCACCGCCGGCCGAGCGGGGAGCTGCAGAGGGGATGCAGGCAAAACGGGCACGCGCTGCAACAGCCTTTGAAAACCCCCCCGCCGAACCAGAACCCGGACCAGCGAAGCGATGTCCACCTTGTTAGCCCACCTTGTTCGGCGGGAAGGATTCGGTGAACTGGCAGTTCACCTTGTTCAACAGCTGCTTGAGCTCTTCAGGCTCGGCCGCATGGGGAGGGAGGCCCTCAATTGCCAGCCGAACGATGTGTCTCATTTTGGTGCTTCGGGCATGAATGGCACGGTGCCAGCGACGGAAGGCCCTCAAGAATAGATTTGACATGAGCATCTCAGAATAGTATTTGACATGAGCATCTAAGGCTCTGTTCGTTATGTGGAGATAGGAGAGATTGAGTCTCGTTTTCCGCACGCACGCTTTTCAAACTACTAAACGGTGCATTTTTTGCAAAAAAAATTTCTATAGGAAAGTTGCTTTAAAAAAAATCATATTAATCCATTTTTAAAATTTAAAATAGTTAATACTCAATTAATTATGAGCTAATGGCTCACCTCGTTTTGCGTATCTTCCCAATCTCCTCAATCTCTTTCTCCTCAAACACACCTCATCAGTTGTGCCTGCTAATCGTGCATGATATTTGTCAAAACTAACAAACCAGACTTACTGTTCTGCATTTATTCTTACAGGAAAGTATTTGCACTAAATGTTGTTGGGAAGATTCCAGAGGAACTACAAGATCTAACTTACCTGACATACTTGTACGAGTTATTTCCTCCTCTACTGAAGTTAAAAAAGACACTGATATTAATACATGATAAATGCTGCAGCTCCTTGTAAATAATTGCTCTATGCACGCAACTGGAAACAAAAATAAGAAAGAAGTGAATACTGTTGAATTTCATGCGCATGGACGTACGTTTTTCGGTTCCACTTGTACACTTAGGGCACCCACAATAGTTATCTATAGGCTCTCTACAAGAGATCCATGTCAGTATATTTTCCTACTTGGAAGAGATTAAATGAAGAGAGAGCAAATCTATCTACTAACCTGAAGATAGTCTATAGAGAAAAACGAGGCAATGGATTAGAGAGCTATAGATACCCATGTAGACATACCATTAAAGTGGTTTACTATTAATCTAATCTATCGCTGAGATGTACATGTTTCATTACTTTACCATTGCGGGTGCTCTTATTTATTATAATGGAGAGAACAGAGCATTCAGACTTGGTGTACAGATTTTGTTAATTAGTTTCAATTCTTTAAGTAGATATGCTGGTTACAAGAGGTGCAAAAATTCTAAGCATATATGTCACTTTATTTGTTAATCTCAGTAGATACGTTGTTTCGACAGCTCGAAAATGTAGTCTAACTCGACCGTGCTCTGAATATTGGTGCCAGTGCAACGGATAATTTTGTAAAGAGCATACTACATAGGGTTCTTCTGTACTGCTTACATGAAGTGGTTATCACAGTCCAACTTAACTACGTTCTGAATATTTGTATCTTATTAATTAATTACTGCTTACATGATGTGCTTTCAGGAATCTAGATCAAAATTACTTGACTGGATATTTACCGACATTCATTGGGAATATGACTTACCTGAGGGAACTGTAAGAATTACAATTCAAATATATGATTGGAAGTATTTCAACTTAAAGAGTTATCATTGTTACATGATGTCTTGTGTAGCACATAACTTACGTTATTCTCTTTTCAAAAAACTGCAAAGATATGTGGCGTTTAATGCGTTAAGTGGAGTTTTACCAAGGGAGCTTTGGAACCTCAAGAATCTTATATCATTGTAAGAACTGGGAAACTAACATCTTCAGTTACTGTGTGAACAAATACAGCAGGATAAAAATTTACAGAGCTGTTTCATCTGTTATTATTTTTGTTATTCTCATTATCTCACAAGCTCGTTGGGTTTAGACCCTTTTTTTAACAAATTGATCCTTTTCAAAAACTTATTTCGAAACTAGTCCATGCAAAAAACTTCAACCAAAAATAGACCGTGGACTCAGCGCCATTAACTTTGGCGCTAAGCTATAACGTTTCAGCGCCAACGATGTTGGCGCTAAGCTCTAATCCAAGGTGACGTGAGGACGCTGAGTCATCATTGCTCAGCGCCAAATAACTTGGCGCTGAGGTCCCAACGATTTAAATTAATATGGAGGCATATCTAGCAAAGTCCTACTGATAGCATAATGGTAGTGGAGGTCTACTCTAACCTTAAGGAGCAGGGTTTGATTCCCATCCCACCTATTTTTGTTTCTTTTTAGTTTTTCCTTTTTCTTCTCTCTCTCACTCTTTGTTTTTTCTTTTTCTCTCTCTCTCTTTATTAATATGTTTTTTCTTTTTTTTCCCTCTCTCACTCTTTGTTTTTTCTTTTTCTCTCTCTCACTCTTTATTAATATGTTTTTTCTTTTTTTTTCTCTCGTTTTCTTTTTCTATCTTTATTTAGTTTTCCCTTTTTCTTCTCTCTCTCACTCTTTATTAATATATGTTTTTTATTTTTTCTCTCATTTTCTTTTTCTATCTTTATTTATTTTTTCCTTTTTTTTCTCGTAATACTATCTTCAAAATATATGTTTAATATGCAACTTTTTTTGAATTTGAAAAAAATATATTGAAGTGGTATACTATATGGCAAATGAGAACTTAAACTGAAATTTCAAATAAAATTCAAAATAAATTAAATTATAAAATTTGAAAGGAGCATATACTTCTTTTATATTGGCACTCAAAATCAAATTCAAAATAAAACAAATTTACACACGGAACATTCATTTTTGTAAACAATAAGTGAGTAGGCAAGAGAAAAAAACCCAAAAATACAAAAGAAAGCAGAAGGGGAGGGATACAAGGATACGATCCTGGCACCTTTGGGCACACAACCTTCCGCAATCAACCACTAGGCTATCACAATTTTGCTTCTACATGTTGTTTGCGCTACTATTTAAACCGTTGAGACCTCAGCGCCAAGTTATTTGGCGCTGAGCTATGATGACTCAACGAAATAACGCCATCTCGGATTAGAGCGAGGTTGGCGCTAAAACGTTATAGCTTAGCGCCAAGGTCAATGGCGCTGAGTCAACGACCTATTTTTGGTTGAAGTTTTTTGCAGAGACTAATTTCAAAATAAGTTTTTAAAAAGGATCAATTTGTTAAAAAAACGGGTGTTTAGAAATTAGTCAGACAATTAAAAGTACTTCTCTGCATAAATCAAGCACCTTGATTTTTCATTTAATTTCCCAATTGCATACTTTTTTTCTCTGAACCCCCTTTTTTTGTGTGTGTTTCAGGAGCCTTAGCATGACTAAGTTTGTTGGCGTACTTCCTGACGAAATTCAATACTTAACTGAACTTGAACGACTGTTATGTCTTGTTTCTTCATGTCTCACTTTTTCTTCCAACAACATGCATGTGCATCATAATTGATAAGCTGAACGTATCACTACTCGTCCAATTATGCAGGTATATTGATAGCTGTGGTTTAAGCGGGGACCTACCATTAACCCTTTCCAAGCTTAAGAACCTGAGAGCATTGTAAATTCTGATTACACTTTATATTTAAGAAAGTGTTCGATACCATCAGTGCATTAACTTTGTTTCTACACGTCCAGACGAGCATCAGATAATGATTTCACTGGGAAAATACCGGATTATATTGGAAACTTGTCAAATTTGGAAGTACTGTAAGTTGCAACTTGATTTTTTCTTTGGGTGGGGTACGCAAGAATATCATGTAAAAATATGACCACTTATGTTCTCAATGTTCATTTAGCCGTTTTTATGTATAAAAAGAATAAAATAAACGTTCTGCCTAAATGTGTCACATACTCGCATTTAATTGCGTAATGAACTACAGTTTTATACGTTTTAAAATGAATATATATGTGGCCATGCAGGAAGCTCCAAGGAAACAAAATTGAAGGCCCCATTCCTGCAAGTCTTTCAAAGCTTGTCAAGTTGAATAGTAGTTTGTATGCTCTTCCTGTAACCCTAGCTACTTTGGGACTTTGGGAGACACCTGTTGTGTGCTTGTTGCAGTTAATTAATGCCATTTTTTGAATTGTTATCTTTTATATTGAAAAGGTGGATAGGTGATTTAACAGGAGAGGTGTCTTCCTTGGATTTTGTGTCTAACATGACATCCTTGAATGCTCTGTACGATGGCATTTGCATGCTCTTAATTTAATTAGTCCATATTTTGGCATTTGTGGAATATCCTGAAGTTTTTTTTCTTTCACTTCTTACAGAACCCTGCGAAACTGCAACATATCTGACAAGCTGACTTCAGTGGACTTCTCAAATTTTAAGAACCTCACGGACTTGTAAGCATTCATTTTAACAAAAAAAAAAAGAACTTACTCCATCCGTCCTAAAAAAAGACAAACCATGGGTTTGCGTGTCCAACTTTGACTGTCCGTCTTATATGAAATTTTTTTATAATTCGTATTTTTATTGTTGTTAGATGATAAAACATGATTAATACTTTGTGCGTGACTTGTCTTTTTAATTTTTTTAATAATTTTTTCAAATAAGACGAACGGTCAAACATTGGGCATAGAAACCAGGGTTATGTTTTTTTGGACGGAGGGAGTAACTGTTTACCATTATATGACAGCCATACTTCATTAACTTCTCAAAAATGCTGTACAACTCAGTTACGTATGTACGGTAAGCATTCTTTGGTGGAATGTTAAATTTAAAACCTATTTGATGAGTTGGTGTTGAACTGCTTGTATGTGAGAGCTAGTAAAGTGCATGTTATGGTGTTGAACTGTTTGCTCTTTAATTAATTATGTCTTCTCTGGCGAGGCAGGGATTTAAGTTTTAACAGCATCACAGGCATGGTTCCTCCAACAATTATGAACCTTCCAATGCTCGTTTTCCTGTAAGGAATCATGTATAGAATATATTGTTTTGAAATTTATCTCAAACTAATAGTTTCGAATTTCCCAAACTAAAGTTTATAGGAACCAGATTTCTTGGGAGCAATAACCTTAATGGGAGCCTGCCCAACACTACCATAAGCCCTTCACTTACTACTATGTAAGTAGTTTGTTCTATTTTATTCAGTTGTTTTTTACCAATTAATTTGGCCAGCATCCTGACAGTATGTAGATGCACTATGCGGATTTATTTAATTAGTTAGTTGATGGTGTGTCTTGTCCTTTATTTATTTTTATCAACATATTTCTTCAAATTTCTTTTGCAGAGATTTGTCATATAACATGCTTTCTGGAAGATTTCCTGCTTGGGTTAGCACAAAAAATTTAAACGTGTAGGGTTCTATATCCTAATACCTATTTAATTAGAAGGCAGAATAAATTCATGCATATCTACTGTATTTTCAATCTGGATATCAATATTGCAATTTCGGTGCCAAAACATCACATCTTCTGATCTAACCTATGTGCTTTATACTTCTCTTAGGAATTTGGTGTGGAACAACTTTATGATAGATAGCTCTAACAGCAGGTTCGATTTTTCCCCTTCACCTAGATTCCCCTTGTCTCTATTACAAACAGAAAGTTGTAAACATCTAATTATGCCATGAATTATATATTGTGCTTGTAGTATTTTGCCTTCAGGGCTAGAATGTCTCCAGCAAGATACTCCATGTTTCCTTGGTCAACCAGAGTGTGAGCTCTTGTCTCCTGATCCATATCAATACCTGCTTTGGGCAACACCAAGTTCTATATCGCTTATATGATTCTGTTATATTGTAGATTCCTCTTTTGCGGTAGATTGCGGTGGTTCCAGATCCGTTAAAAGCGACGATAAGTTCATTTATGAATCTGACGGTGCCAATCTACAAGGTGCATCATACTACGTTACAAGGCCAGTGAGATGGGGTGTTAGCAATACTGGGAAATTCTACATGGGTGAACCTAATAGAAGTTACATTATATACACTTCAAATCAGTTTAACAAAACACTTGATAGTGAACTATTCCAGACAGCTAGAACGTCACCCTCTTCTCTGAGATACTATGGCATTGGGCTCAAGAATGGTAAGTACATTGTTGCACTAAAATTTGCAGAGATCTTCCCAGATGGACAGATCTGGCAAAGCATGGGAAGGAGGATTTTCGATATATACATTCAGGTGACTAATTCGTCACTGTGATAGTGATAATAACAAGAGTAGTTTCCATCCTGTATCATCTGCTAAATTGATTCAAATATGTTTCATTAATTTTTTGAATACAAGAATCTTAATTTTTTTTACCTGCTTGGTGCAGGGAGAGCGCAAAGAACAGGACTTTGATATAAAGAAATATGCAAATGAAAAATCAAATACTCCTGTTGAAAGGCAATACTTTACTGACGTTACAAACAATTTCATGGAGATTCATCTCTTCTGGGCTGGAAAAGGCACTTGTTGCATTCCTACCCTAGGGTTCTATGGGCCATCTATCTCAGCATTAAGTGTCTCTTTTTCGGGTACTGATGCTTATCTTGCTAAAAGCATAATTATTTCTAGGAGATCATCTTAGAACAATAATCCATTTTCTATTATCTAAACTCTTACTGCATTGAAGGGGATCCTGGTCTAAACATAAACAACACGACTAACGGTGAGAATACAAGCAGCGGTAGAAGAGGTTTGGTTGTTGGAGTTGTAGTCAGTGCTGTTATTGTAGGACTTCTAGCAGTTACAGGAACTTTTGTTTGGACACAGAAACGTAAAAGGTTAGAGGTCGAGATGGAAGGTAATGCATGCTGAAAAACTGTTGTGATAATCTTACAAATAAATACTCCCTCTGTATTTTAATGTATGACGCCGTTGACTTTTTAACCAACGTTTGACTACTCGTCTTATTCAAAATTTTTATACAAATATAAAAATACTTATGTCATACTTAAAGAATATTTGATGATAAATCAAGTCACAATAAAATAAATTATAATTACATAAAATTTTTGAATAAGACGAAAGATCAAACGTTTGTTAAAAAGTCAACGGCGTCATACATTAAAATACGGAGGAAGTAACTGTTAAGTGCTTCCCTTCTGCTATAATGTGATTCTGTGAACTTGCAGAGCTCCTCAGCATAGTGGGAACGCCTAATGTATTTAGTTATGGAGAAATAAAATCAGCTACTGACAACTTTAGTACTCAAAACATTCTCGGAAGAGGAGGGTACGGACTTGTTTACAAGGTAAGTTAGATGCCTTTCCTCAAAACTTGGAAACCTATGCACTTTACTAGTTGAGCATATGCTGGATGTGGTTCCCCAAACCAAGACATGGTTGCAAAATCTCCCTTTCTATGTTGTAATTGGTAGAGTTAATCCATAGAGGACTTTTACGATACATTGTACTGCAAGTATATACTAACAGTATATAAAAGGGTATGTTTGATATTTGGTAAAAAATCTGGAAAGGGCTTTTTAGCCATTTGAAGTTCAGAATTTGTTTCAATCAGGAGTACCCTGTCGATCTCGTCGTGTGGTCGTAGTGCTCTTCCATAATACGAAGAAGACGCACGTGGAGGCGTCGCGATTCCTTCCCCACTCGGCTTCTCCCGCGTCCCCGGCACCATGCCTCCCAGGCTCCCACCCTAGCCGCCGGCTTTCTCCTCCGTATCCAACCTCTGCCTTCTCCAAACCATGGCAGCGAGGTTGGCCACGTCAAGCCCGCTGCCTCATCCCACCTCCCACCTCCGACCTCTTGCTCCCACTGTTAAGGTCTAACATGCAGAACCATGATCCATAAAATTGATAGATGAATCTGTACGTTGGATCTGTTATACTCTACCTGGTGTATATACTGTGTCCACCAAACCTATGTTAGTTGGTGACGAAAAATTATCCTATTGCTGGTGCTGACTTCTGCAAATGAATTCTTCTGTTGGTGATGAAAAATGCTGCTGCTCAATCTCTGCCATGGGCACAGTAATCTTATCCTTGCTTTTCAATATGGCATGTGAAGTTCATTAATTCCTCTGGCTAAAATACCATCTTACTAGTACATTGCGGTGGCGCGGGGTGCGTGTGGCATGTGGGCGCGGTGGTCGATCGCCGTGATGAAGGAAGGCGAAAGATTTCGCTCGAGCGGGATCCGTCAAAGGAAAACAAAAAATAAAAATAAAAATACCCCTTATTAAAAGACAAATATACCTTTTTTTAATTTATATTACAAGCTAATTGAGTGGAAGATCAAATTAATCTGAACCATTAGATTATTTATACTGGTAGTATATACTACTAGTATATTGTACCGTAAAAATCCTCTAATCCATATGGTTTGATTGGGAATATTTTACAACATAGCTGGCCTTTCTTTTGTGGGATTTTGTTTGTAAACATTAGCAAATTACTGTATAATAGTATCATTCTACAATCTACATTCTGTTCTATATATTTTCAGCTTTCTCCATACTCTCACTGTTTGTCTCAAAGCAGCTAATCACTATTAATAATTTGCTAGGTGTATTACAGTTATGTTTTATTTGCTTTCCGAATTCATGATTGGTAGTAGTATTTGTATATTATGTATGAAGGGTAAGCTACTTGATGGGAGAATGGTAGCCGTGAAGCAGTTATCTGCAACATCTCATCAAGGGAAAAGGGAGTTCATGACAGAAATTGCAACAATATCTGCAGTTCAACATCGAAACCTTGTGAAGTTGCATGGTTGTTGCATTGAGAGTGATGCCCCACTTTTGGTCTATGAATATATGGAAAACGGGAGCCTTGATCGAGCAATCCTAGGTATTGTTTTTCTTTTCTGGACCTCCTAAACTAGACACAGCTTTGATGAAATTTGCACCAAACTTCCAAGGTGCATAAAACTTTTGTATGTGTGCAGGCAAGGCAAGCTTGAAACTAGACTGGAGAACCCGCTTTGAGATATGCGTAGGCATAGCAAGAGGCCTAGCATATCTTCACGAGGAGTCTAGCACACGAATAGTGCACAGGGACATCAAAACCAGCAATGTCTTACTTGATGCTAACCTCAATCCCAAGATCTCTGACTTTGGGCTTGCTAGGCATTATAATGACAGCATGACTCATGTTAGCACAGGAGTTGCAGGCACGCTGTAAGAACATTTCTTTGCATATATTTCTATGTCGTATTCATGACAGAAGATCAATCGACCAACATTATCGTGTTCTTACTTTTTAGAGGTTATCTCGCACCTGAGTATGCCATGATGGGCCATCTCACGGAGAAAGCTGATGTTTTTGCATTTGGAATCGTGGCAATGGAAATCATTGCAGGAAGGCCAAACTTTGATGATAGCGTCGAGGATGATAAGAAATACCTACTTGGATGGGTATGTATGTTAATACTTTCTCAAACTTACACATCAAATTTATTTAACTAACTAACTAAATCAACTCACAGGCATGGTGTTTGCATGAGAACAAGCAGCCACTTGAAATATTAGACCCAAAACTCACAGAATTCAACCAGGAAGAGGTCATGCGAGTCATCAACGTCATTCTTCTTTGCACAATGGGCTTGCCTCATCAACGCCCACCGATGTCGAAAGTCGTGTCCATTCTTACAGAAGATATCGAGACGGTTGAAGTGGAAGCAAATGCGAGGCCTAGCTATATCCCTCAGTCGCAGATCAGGAGTGAGAATGATGGCTTCATAGCAGGCTACTTCTCAGGATCATCGATACAGCAATCTTCAGGTACCCAAGGCAGCATGCCATCAAGCTCAAGCAGCAAACCCAAATTTCACAGGGACACCTCCCCTTTAGCACTGTCGCCTTGTTCTAGCTGTGAGATTGATTAGGGAAGATAGATGATTGTGGAGATTATGGATACCCCATATCTACACGGCGGTTATATTTAGACTGGATATAGGATACCGAATATAGATAGAATATCTTTATTGTATCTCGGGTTTGTTTCTTAACTTGTACGTCAAGGAAATACCCGTAGATTTAGTCGGTTACGATTGTATTTTATCTGTATTTTCGTATTCCGTTAGGGATATGAGTTATACCTTATAATACGGACTCCTTCCCCTATATAAGGAGGGGTCCGAGTCCTTCTTAGGACACACAATTCTCTTTGAGATCATACATTCAATAATACACTCGGCGGATTCATCCCCGGACAGGAGTAGGGTATTACTTCTTGAATAAGAAGGCCTGAACCTGTATAAATCCTTTGTCTCCAAACCCATCCACTTTTCGAGCTTGATAGCCACCCCCCTTTTAGTATTGCCGAAATCTTGTTTCGACAGTTGGCGCGCCAGGTAGGGGTCGCGTCAAGCTTTTCGCCGATCAGTGCAATGGGTTCCGTCTCCGGCATCGACGACCTCGTCTTCCCTCCCGGGCAGGCGTTTCGGTTCGGCAGCCTCGACTTCATCACCAACGACTTCGGCAAGATCTCTCTCCTCGACTCAGAATCAGACCAGTCGGGAGAGAGCCGGATCTCGGCCCCGTTTGGTGTTCCAAACGCGGCTAAGATCTACTCCAAGTCCATCTCGATCGAGTCGGCTTCAAACCACTTGGACGAGATCGCATCTTCTCCAACGTCATCAGATCGAGATGATGGGGCTTATCCACCGATCCTAATGAAGCTCCCCGATGATTTGGCGGCCGTCTTCACTCCCCGTAGGCCTAGGCGGAAGTCGGCTTCAACACCGATCTCGCCTAGCTCCAGGGAAGTTGGCGTCATCCTCCAGCCACTCGGCACAATTTCGACGGACCAGTTGGAGGGCTACTAGAGCTCTCCCGGTGTCGACTCGCGTCCAACCGAGATCGTGGAGTACGATGAGTTCGGCTTTCGCAGCAACGACCAAGATCTTGACGACTTCGACGAAAGCCTAGAAGATAACTACACCCCTCTCTATTTCGGCGTCTTTTTGGCCGATAACGAGACGGAGGAGCAACGCCAAGCCCGAGAAGCCGAAGCGCGACGTGAAGCCGAACGACGCCGACTGGGGGAGGAGCGTCAAGCACAGGAACAAGAACGGCTGCGGCGTGAGCAACAGGAGCGCGAGCGGGCCGCTGAGGCTGAAGACCGACGGCAACGAGCCTTGGATGCAGGGCGCCGAGCGCGAGATCTTATTGGCCAGCAAGATGTTGAGGGAACACCGGTTTTCCGCACCCCACAACAGAACGCTGTTGCCGCGATCACCCTCCTCGACACCCTCCTCAAGGAGAATGAGCTTAATCAATCTGATCATGTGGTCAACATCTTGAACCAGACCAAGACCATGATCGCTGCTTCGGTCCCAGTTAACTCCGGAAGCGTCCGCACGCCGACTGGTAGCCGAGTCCCCCATCTTCGATCTCATGACTACCACCAGCCAAGCCTTAGCATCACCGGCGCAGGATCTAATCGCAGGAGCAGGGGTCACGATGAGCGATCTGTCCACTCGCCTCCCGAGCATCATAGGGAGCGCCGAGTGGAATGACCTCGTTCGCCACCTCGTCGTCGCCCCGTCGATCTTCGCGACACGATCATACAGCGCCGAGCAGCCCGAGGCCACCATCATTCGCCGGATCGCCACGACGACGACCTAGACGGAGTTGCCGCTTTCACCAACGACTTACGTCGAGTGGATTGGCCAGCCAGCTTTAAGCCGGCTGGAATAGAGAAGTACGATGGTACCACCAACCCGAAATCCTGGCTTACCGTCTACGGTCTCGCAATCCGCGCAGCAGGAGGAGATAGCAAGGCCATGGCGAACTATTTACCAGTGGCTTTAGCAAATTCCACCCGGTCGTGGCTCCATGGATTGCCTCGTGGTACAATCGGATCTTGGGCGGAATTACGCGACCACTTCATCGCCAACTTCCAAGGCACTTTCGAGCGCCCCGGCACACAATTCGATCTTTACAATGTTATTCAGAAGTCCGGAGAATCCCTTCGAGTTTACATCCGACGATTTTCTGAACAACGCAACAAGATCTCCGACATCACCGACGATGTTATCATCGCCGCATTCACCAAAGGAATTCGCCACGAAGAATTGGTCGGCATGTTTGGGCGTAAACCTCCCAAAACCGTCAAACTCATGTTTGAAAAAGCCAACGAGTACGCCAAGGCTGAAGACGCCGTCATCGCATCAAAGCAGTCGGGCTTCAGTTGGAAGCCAAAAAAGGATACGCCGGCTACGGGAGGGGGTGGAAGTAACAACCATAAGGACCGCAAGCGTAAGCCTGAGGAACTTGTTGCAACCACTACTCACTCTTCTCGACAGCGTTCGCGCGTCAACACGTTCGACAAAATCATGAACTCCTAATGCCCGCATCATCCTAACTCCAACCACGCGGCCAAAGATTGTTTCGTCTACAAGCAGTTCGCAGAACAGTACACCAAGACTACACGGAAGAACTCCGACGAAGAACAAAGCACGTCGAAGAAGAAGGAAGATGGCGACCCCCCGGCAGGTTTTCAAGACCACCGCAATGAGCTTAACCACATCTTTGGCGGCCCCTTGGCTTATGAATCTAAAAGAAAGCAAAAGTTGACTGAGCGGGAGATTAACGTTGTTCAGCCCGGCACGCCCCAATATCTTCGATGGTCAGAAACAGCAATCAAGTTTGACCGCTCGGATCATCCCGACCGAGTGGTCCACCTGGGGCGGTACCCCCTGGTAGTAGACCCAGTGGTCCATAATGTCAAGCTTCGCAGAACCCTCATCGACGGTGGCAGCGCACTAAATATCCTCTTCGCCAAGACCCTGGATGATATGTAGATTCCCCGCTCCGAGTTAAAACCGAGCAATGCGCCCTTTCACGGAGTCATTCCAGGGCTATCTGCAACTCCACTCGGCCAGATCACCCTTCCAGTCACCTTCGGCACTCGGGAAAACTTCCGCACGGAGAATATCTGTTTTGAAGTCGCCGACTTCGAGACAGCATATCACGCCATACTCGGACGCCCGGCGTTAGCCAAGTTCATGGCCGTCCCACACTACACTTACATGATGATGAAGATGCCCGGTCCTCGAGGAGTCTTATCATTACGGAGCGACATCAAGCAGGCCATCACATGCGACAGGGAGAGTTGCGAGATGGCCCAAACTCGTGAGATTGCGTCTGCCCGAGAAGATATCCGACTGGCTGCGACCACGGCAAGCGAAGAAGTGCCCGCGACCAAGGTCTCGAAGAGCGGAGAAAGCGAAGCTAAGACCAAAAAGATTCCCCTAGATCCTTCTGATCCCACTAAAACTGCTGTAATAGGCACCGAGTTAGATTGTAAATAGGAAAGCGCGCTCATCACCTTTCTTCAAAATAATAAAGATATCTTTGCGTGGAAACCATCTGATTTGCCTGGTATTCCTAGAGAGGTGATTGAGCACTCCTTGCACGTCAAAGAAGACGCTAAACCTATTAAACAACGACTTCGCCGCTTTGCACAAGACAGGAAGGATGCGATCAAGGAGGAATTAACCAAGCTGTTAGCAGCAGGCTTCATTAAAGAAGTCCTTCATCCCGACTGGCTGGCTAACCCGGTCCTAGTTCGGAAGAAAACTGGGCAATGGCGTATGTGTGTCGATTATACCGACCTCAACAAGTCTTGCCCTAAAGATCCTTTTGGGTTGCCTCGCATTGACCAGGTAGTCGATTCGACCGCCGGCTGCGAGCTACTCAGTTTTTTGGATTGCTACTCGGGGTATCATCAGATCCGACTGAAAGAATCCGACTGCTTGAAGACTTCATTAATCACGCCCTTTGGGGCCTACTGCTACATCACTATGCCATTCGGGTTGAAAAATGCAGGAGCAACTTATCAACGCATGATTTAAAGATGCTTCTCGACTCAAATTGGCCGCAATGTTGAAGCTTACGTAGATGATGTAGTCGTCAAGACCAAGCAGAAGGACGATTTAATCTCGGACCTAGAAGAAACCTTCGCAAGCATCCGTGCTTTCAGGATGAAACTAAACCCTGAAAAATGCACCTTCGGAGTACCGTCAGGGAAGCTGCTTGGTTTTATGGTGTCTCATAGAGGCATACAAGCTAACCCGGAGAAAATCATCGCCATCCTCAACATGAAACCGCCAAGGTCCCAGAAAGACGTCCAGAAGTTGACTGGATGCATGGCGGCGCTCAGTCGATTCGTTTCACGACTCGGCGAGCGGGGGATGCCTTTTTTCAAACTGTTAAAGAAAACAGACAATTTCCAGTGGGGATCTGAAGCACAGAAGGCCTTTGAAGACCTCAAGAAACTCCTCACCGAGCCACCAGTCTTAGCCTCACCACATCCACAGGAGCCGCTACTACTATATCTATCAGCCACCTCCCAAGTTGTGAGTACAGTCTTGGTTGTTGAGCGTGAGGAAGAAGGCCATGTCCAGAAAGTCCAGCGACCAATTTACTTCGTCAGTGAGGTCCTGTCCGACTCCAAGACGAGATATCCTCAGGTTCAGAAGTTGTTGTACGCTATCTTGATCACTGTAAGGAAGTTATCTCATTACTTCCATGGCCACTCGGTCACGGTGGTCACATCGTTCCCACTAGGCGATATACCGCACAATTGCGAAGCAAATGGATGGATTGCAAAGTGGGCCCTGGAATTGATGTCTCTGGATATATCCTTCAAGCCCCGAACATCGATCAAGTCCCAAGCATTAGCAGACTTCGTCGCCGAGTGGACCGAGTGCCAGGAGGATATTCCCGGAGAAAAGATAGAGCACTCGACCATGCACTTTGACGGTTCAAAAAGGCTTTCGGGCACTGGAGCGGGAGTGGTCCTAATTTCCCCAGCTGGAGAAAGATTAAGTTATGTGCTTTGGATACATTTTTCGGCATCTCACAATGTCGCAGAGTATGAAGCGCTCCTTCACGGACTACGGATTGCAATTTCCCTAGGGATCAAGCGCCTAATAGTTCGTGGGGATTCACAGCTAGTCGTAAATCAAGTTATGAAGGAGTGGTCCTGCCTTGACGACAACATGACGGCATATCGACATGAGGTACGCAAATTGGAAAACAAGTTCGATGGACTCGAGCTTAGTCACGTTCTCCGACACAACAACGAAGCCGCCGATAGACTTGCCAACTTTGGATCCAAGCGCGAGGTGGCCCCTTCCGATGTATTCGTCGAACACCTTTATGAGCCGACCGTACCTCAGAAAGAAACGACTCAAGTTGCGGACACTCAAGACATAGCTATGATTGAGGCCGATTGGAGAGAGCCCCTCATA